CCTTTGAACCAGTTTCAGACACAAAGAGTCGTCTTTGTAATTTCACTGATTCATTTTTTATTGATAAACAGATCAATAACTGTGGACACAGTCAGGCAGAGAACCAGCAAAGACACAACAGAGCTCCAGATATCAGCTTACTGAGCCACACACACACACACACACGACTCAGCAGGCCAGTCTGCATCTGCTGGGACTTCATCTAATTAGGACAAAGCCGACGCCCAGCTCCGCACGAACAGCTGGAGGTGTGTGCGCGTGCGTGTTTGTGTGTGTGTTTGTGTGTCCGTGTGCTGCAGCTGATCCTGCTCTCTAAAGCTTGTTGACTTCATATTATCATCCGAGGAGTGTTTGTGCTCAGATTTTTAAAAGATGTTTGAAAAGACAGCAGATTAACTCTGTCCTGCCCAAAGACACACACACAGACACACACAGACACAGACATGCACACACGCATGCACACACGCACACACAGACACACACGCACAAGCACACACACCAAACTGTTTTTATAGGATTGGATTCATTCATCATTATTTTGTCGTGTTTTTGTGGGTTTCGTTTCATTTACTCAGTAAATGTTCTGTTTTTCTTCCTTCAGCTGTTTAAAGGGAACAGAAATCGTATGACAGCTTTGAAGTGTCTCAGGCCTCGTTTATTAGCCTGGACCCAAAGACCAGCAGATGACCGTGGCCACACCTCCATCGCTGTTTTCTCCTTACAGGAAGTAGAACTGCTGAGGTCACAAAGAGCGCACAGATCCAGACACAACTTCATAAACGGTCCAATTAGCACAAAGTTAAAAATGAAATCCATCTCAGAATAAAAGTAAAGTGTCTGTCGGGGGTGTGGCCTCTTCGTGGTCATTCCCTATTCAAACACCAAAACTTTATTAAAACTCATTAAAGTCCATTGACCTCCATCTGAAACACTTCCTGTGGACAGATAGAGGTCGCACAGCACGATCACTGCAAACATCAGCTCATCCTAAACACCCATTAGCATCTAAGACCGGCCAGAGACCCAGACCGGACCCAGACCCTTCAAACAGCACCTGCAGCCGCTGCAGGAGGGCATCATCGATGGGACACTTCACTGTATGTGGAGCCTCCCATACCTCCGTGTGTGTCACACAGAACGATGGAAGCTGATCCTCAGTAAGCTTGGCTGTATGAAAACGAGGAGCTCTGATCGCTCAGTCGCAGCTGTAAATGGTAAATGGCCATATATAGCGCTTTACTAGTCCCCAAGGACCCCAAAGCGCTTCACATATCCAGTCATCCACCCATTCACTCACATCCACACACTGGTTATGGCAGCTACATTGTAGCCACAGCCACCCTGACAGAGGCGAGGCTGCCGGACACTGGCGCCACCGGGCCCTCTGACCACCACCAGTAGGCAACGGGTGAAGTGTCTTGCCCAAGGACACAACGACTGAGACTGTCCAAGCCGGGGCTCGAACCAGCAACCTTCTGATTACAAGACGAACACCCAACTCTTGAGCCACGATCGCAGCTGTTTCACAAACCGCCTCTTTGTGTTCAGCCAGCTGCTAAAGATAGACCAACAGTAACGTTTCCATCAGCAGCTTCAGTCTGAAAAAGGACAAACAGGGGCGCCGTCACCCACAGACCTGCAGGTCACAGCCGGAGACATCAGCGTATGCAGATGATGCATGTGTGCTCATGACAAACTCCCAACAATCAGTTCCAGCTGTATTATATTTAACACTGGAGGACCTGAAACCTGACTGTTACCTAGCAGTAGGCTGAACGATATATCGCATTGCGATAATATCGCGACATGATCAAGTGCAATTCTAACCGCAAAGGCTGCGATTATACTGCGATTATAAGCTGTCCAAATTACTACATATCCAGAATTCATAGCGCGCCAGCCAAACTCCAGTTCCAGCAATGGCGCGCTACTAAGTTTAAAATTACTCATACTAATCTTCTGGGTCACAAAATAAACTTTAACATATTTCAGGCGAGAAAGTAGTTGTGTAAACATCAAATATCTGCTCGTTTATCAAGATATCCATATTTGCAAAGTGCTTCGACGTTTCAGAGGCGTCTGCTACCCACCAGCTCGACAGCTAGCCGGGAGCTCGAGGATTACTGATGCGGCCGAGAACGGCACAACTCCCGGCACATCATTTTCAGATCACCGCGGAGTTTCGCTGCTCGGGTTAAACGTAATATATAAGTCACTTAGACAACCTAAAAATGTTATTGTTGGGCTTTTTTCAGTGTTTTGTTTGTTCGTGAGTAAATCGGTTTGGCTGAGATTAAAGTTATTAGATTAGATAAAATAAAACTTTATTAATCCCCCGGGTGGGTTCCTCCTTGGTTTTCACACAGCTGACTAAACGTCAAACAGAAAACTTATTAAACAGAAGTATGAGACAGTCGAGAATTTACACCAGTGTCTGGTTATATTTTATATAGCAAGAAGCAGACGGCCGAGTTTATTAAACTCCACCGAGACAGCGGTGACGCTAATCAGAAGGCTAGACCGTCCAATTTCACGCCTTTAAACTTTAAAGGCGTTTTTGTGTGTGTGTTTATACAATTGCTATTATGTTTGCACTTTATGTGTAATGTTACTGACTGCAGAGATCAGTAAGATGTGTGTATTTTTTATTTATTAGTTTTATTTATTTAATATTATTTTTAATTGAATGACTGTCTAGTAGTTCACAGATGTCGAAAAACTGAGTGTGGTAAAGCCACTGATTTTTTTTTATGTATATTTCTGCAATCTGCACATTGTACTGACTTTCATTTTAATGTTTACACCAGGGTTCCTTGTCAGCACTTTATGCTCAGATGTTTGTAAGCTAAAAATAAACTATTGTGTATGTTCAAATATACTGTTGTGATTGAAGAAGTTAAATAAAAATGTCAGTCATCAATTCATGCATCACCTCATGTCATCATAACAGAGGTCTGTCTTCCAGGAAAGAACAGTTTAAAATTAATGTAATATAGTATTGGCCATACTATATGATGTATTGCTTGTCTTTGTTTAATAATACAGAAGACAAAGACCTTAAAAAATAATCGCATATCGCATCGCAATCGCAATATTGGGCAAAAAATCGCAATTAGATTATTTTCCATAATCGTTCAGCCCTACCTAGCAGAGGCTTTCTGGCTCAGAGCTTTCAGGACCTGACAGCACTTCCTGCTCCTTTCTTTAGGATGCCCCGGGGCAGACCCTGGGTCAGCTGGAGAGATCTCTCTGCTGGTTTGGGAACACCGTGGTCCCTCCACAGGAGCCAAAAGAGGTTTGGAGCCTGTAGGATGCAAACGTGTCTGCTGCTTCCTGGCAGAAGTTATTTTAGCAGGTCTGCAGTCACACAGGTGCTTCCACTTCCTGTGATGAGCCACGGGATGAACGAGTCACAAAGGCCAGGAATCAAATCATTACAGACCTGCTGCAGTCGCTTATTCTGCATTGTTTTCATAGGCGAGCAACTGAAGGCCTCATGCACACACAGACACACACAGACAACAATCCTCTGTAATAAAAGCAGAAACTCAAAAATTAGGGATGGGTACCGGTGTCATGGCACCGGTTCTGACATAAACGGTAGTAACCAGTCCGAAAAGCAGCGCACATTTCGGTGCTTTATTTCGGTGCTTTTTTTTTTCCTGAGCTGTGATACACTTCTAGCCAATCATTTTACGTTTCCGAGGATAGTAGGCGGGGCCAGGTACGTACGTTCTGTTAGAGCAGAGCTACAGATTAAAAATGTCCAAGGCGAAGCGGTCAAAAGTCTGGCTGTACTTCACAGCAAAATATGCAAACTCAGCAGCCTGCAACAAGTGCTTTAAGCTGATACTGTGATACTGTCAAAGGAGGTAACTCCTCAAATCCGATGAAACACCTGGCGACGCATAGCATTTTTTTAAAAAGCCGAGAAATGCGCCGTATTTGATAGCTTGCTGCGAGACCTCACACCGAGTGCATCTACTGCGGGTGGGTTGCCTCTTATCGGACCCGGAGTTAGCAACATCCCCCAAAAACACGAAGAGGAGAGTCCTGGCCCCTAGCCCTGCCAGTGTAGTGATGACGGATGATGATGGCAGCAGCAGCAGCCGTTCTTCTCTGCGTGAGTAGCTTAATGTTGTTCGGGTGTAATTTACATTGAGTAGGCTAACCACGTTATTACATTAATGCATGTAAGGTGAACTAGCAAACATCATCATAGCTACATGCTGCTGTCTTCTTGTTTGATGGCAGATACTCCATTCACCCTGGCCAAAAAGGCTAAAATGACCAAAGAAAAAGTGGAAAACAGTTAAACATGAGAGGTTTTGGACAAAGTTTGTGTTTTTTCCATTGTTTAAGCACTGCTTCCAGCCAAGAGTGATACCATATATGCCCCATAGCTGCAGAAAAGGCTAACATTGTTATCTTTTTACAAAAAACCAGCTGAACGTGAGAGGTTTTTGGACCAATTTTGTGTTCTCCATTCTTTGAGCACCGGCACCGTTTCAAAAGTACCGATTTGGCACCGGTATCGGATAAAACCTAAACGATACCCATCCCTATCAAAAATAAACTTCAGTTTCAACAATGTTAACAGCTCTCGGAAAAAATACAGTCACATAATCCAGACGACACACAGGAAGTGTGTGTGCGTGTGAGTGTGTGTGTGTGCAAGAATGCGTGCAGGATGTGAAGCTGTTCAGCCAAATCAGCTCCATCTGAGCTGCTTATCTCTGATTTATAGAAAACACACAAACATGCACGCAGGGCTGTACTTCACACACACACACACACACACACACACATACACACACACACCGTGTACTCGTTCAGCCACTGCTGCTCTGACACAGGTAAACCTCACCTGTCAGTCTCCCACAGCATGCACACCGATGAAGCAGTGCTGAAAGGTCAACACTCTAAACGCACTTCCTGCATCACTTCCTGCTGGGACTGTGTGTGTGTGTGTGTCTGTGTGTGTGTGTGTGTGTGTGTACCTGGTAGTACGTCCTGATATGTCTGGTGAGGACTGTCAGGTTGTGAAGGCGCAGCGACACATCATTGTTCACGTTCTTGTTCAGCCTCTGATTGGTGGGGCTTGGGTCGCTATGGAGACAAATAAACACACCAGAGGAGCGCTGAGGCTGACGTTTGTGGCTGTTTGGGACAAAGATCATCTCACACACACACACAAGTTTCGGGTAACCATGGCGCAGGCATTTCCCTGCACGGAGCCTGATTAGCATGTGAATAGGGGGCGTGTCCCGCTGTCCATCCGTCTGACCTCCTGTCGCTGTCATCGTGTCAGTGTGACGCGTGAAGATGGCCGGTCTCACAGCGCAGCGAGGACTTCACATGTGATTATTCATTAAACCCTCACAGAGAATCAGGTGTAACTGATTAAACGCAGATTTAAATGTCGTGTTTCAGTCACTCAGACGGAGCGTTCTGCAGGGTCTCTGTCCCACCCACTGTCTCTCTCTCTGTCAGGCGGCAGACACCTTAAAAGAAGTTTAAGGTCACATCTCACTCAGCCGTCCAATCAGAGTGCAGCAGAGGTGGGACAAACACTTCTCCGACCAACTGTCACATGAGGAGGTGGCTCTCTGCAGAATGCTCCAAACATGCTGTTTATCACAGCTTTTACACTCTTAGATCTGGATGATGTCACAAGGAGGGCCTAACTGCCCCACCCACCTGCTGGCAGCTAATCAGAAGAACATGTTGTTAAAGAGGGAGGGGCTAAAAGAGCTTGATTCCGACAGAGGATGTGGTGAGAGGCTGTGAGGGCCACTATCAGATAAAGGAGGATTATTCTGAGCAGTGAGTCATGCAAAGCTGCTCTGACAGAGTCAGAGAATAAAAACGAGGAGCTGGAAGCGAGCAGCGCCGATCCACGCTGACACGTTCGGGGTATAAACGAAGAGGGGAACGAGCTTCTTTCATAACTGAAGCTCCGACCTCACTGACTCCGGCGTCTCTCAGCAGCTCGCTCTGAACCGTGAGCTCATTTTTTCCACGACATTAAACCATCTCCACTTCGACTCTCAGCCGGCTCCGCAGACCTCGTTAAACTAGCTGCAGGTTTCTGTGGAGAACTCAGTGATTTAACAGCCGACGGCTCCTCCGACTCTCTAACGTCTCCTTTCATACTCCTCACTGCTCCTCTGTAACCCAGTTTCCCATGAAGCCCCGACCGCCCCCCCTCGGCCCAGCCGACCCTCGCCGTGGAGAACAATAGTGCGATTATCGTCGTTCCTGAGGACAATAACCGACAACAATAACTAACATGAACATGTGGTGTGATCGGGTCAGCGGGGCGTCCCACACAGAGGATTATCAGCACATGAAGGATGAGTCTGCTGCTTTTTTCTTTTTAATTTCAATAAATCCCAGAAACACAAACCAGTAAACCCAGTAACCAGCCCCACAAACACAAGTGTCAGAAGTGAGCTGGGCTCGTCTGAAAGAGTGTGTGCAGCCGTGCTGTCTCTCCTTCCAGTCACGGCTGCAATCAGCTCCTGCAGCTGCTGTCAATAAGCGAACTTTAACCACGACTTCAGCCTGTCAGGGTTTTCTAACGAGTGGATCAGCCTGCATGAGCGCCTCGGCTGGTGACGGCTGCAGTGACAGTACGAGTCACTGAGGCGTGCTGAGGCGCTGCACCTGCTCTCTGATCGATGCTTCTACTCTTCCTCCTGAATGTCCACAGCCTACAAGCCTCTGCCCATCACACACGGCTCGGTCTAATTCCTGGACCTCAGTCTAGTTAACCTGATCTGTGCTCTGAGGCTGCAGACGACGACAACTCTGTGAAGCGCTTCAGCGGCGAGCAGCACATCTGGCTGTGAAGTCTGAACCTGAAACTCAGGATGTGGTTGCACAAATACACTCGCAGAGACACACACAGGAAACACAGGATTACCTCTCTTACCCCCTTATGTACTCACACACACGCACGCACAGGCAAAAACCACCAGAAACACTCGGCAGTTTTGACTGACTCATGCAAATGAACGCGCTCGCTGCCACCTACATGTGTGTCATGATCTTGTGCAGGAAGACGCCGTCCACCAGCTCCATGAACATGCTGAGTCGCTCGTCTGAGCCGGCGCCGTCACCTGACCCCAGCGGGCCCAGCGTCCGCACCTGAGGACAGAATCAGAACATCAACTGTCTGCAGCTTTAAAAGATCTCACATTTAAAAACCAAACTATGAGAAACACAGAGGTGAGTTTGAAATAAGTTTAAGAGCTCAAACTTTGCTCCCTTTTATGCTTTTCTGGCTCATTTAAAGGAGCCGTTCCACCAGCACCAAAACAAGTCAAGTAACAAGGAATAAAAAATAAAATATTTCCCATTTTCCATGTTTGAACCACCTGGGCACATCTGGGCAGGCAGCTTCCCGAGTGCTGCCGCTGCTCTCAGGCTGCCTATCATCTTTACATCATCATCATCATCATCATCCTCAGCTGTAATCTAAACACCGGGCTGAAGGACGGCAGTTTGGCATCTCTGCTCCTCTGTGAATCTCCACCTTTCTGTGGTGGAGATGTGGGGTATGTGTGTGGGGGGAGGGGCCTCTGAAACCAGCTCCATGGTCATAAAAGCCTCTGACTGTGAGGAAATCGTTTCACTTTTAATGAGGAGAACAGCTCGGACACGGAGAATGAAAAACACAAATGTCATAATTAGACTCGTTATTGGATGTGACCATGTGACTCAGTGAGCAGGAAGTGGAGGCTGGCGGGGTTTAGGTCATATCTACAGAGCCGAGCTCTCCGCCTGGGCCCGAGGAGATGCCTGGTGATTCGGGCGTCCCGAGCAGGTGACGTGCGCTTTGTTCTCCTGGAGTCTCTTATGATCACGTTGGTACTAAACAGCAGTTTGTTCTCTTCTTCTCCAGTTTGAGACATTCTTATGCCTGCAGCCAGGCTGAGCAGGGTCAAAGGTCACGGTGCTGTGACACATTAAACAGTGGCTCTAATGTCACAGACCTCAGCTGCAGAGGCGGCTCAGGGTCTAAATGACAGCGTGCAGACTCACAGAGACAAGCCGGCGTGAATGAGTGGATTCCATGTTTTTTTAAGCATTACTCACTCGAGTAATGGCGAGGAACGCCCTGCACGCGCTCACTGAGGCTCTGCTGGAAGCCAAACCACAGTCCCACCGTGTCACCTCCTGATCAGAGTTTCCGCCCACGGGACAATGGTTGGCTGAGCCGACAGCTCAACAGGAAGCGCCACCGATAGTAGCGGCTGACAGCTCCGCTGGCCGTCCCAGCCTCTGACCTGCCTCCAAAAAGCTTCAGAGATGATTCCAGTCCAAACATCTGGAGCCTTCAGAGGAACATCATCACCACGGCGATAAAATCACCATGAACCGGGGGTTTTTTGGGACTACATTAAGTAGTCCAACTTAAATTTGCCTCTGCTTTAAGAATGTTCTGGGATAGCAGGAGCAAACGCTTTAGTGTTAACGACACCCCGCAGATTTCCGACAGTCAGTCTGGGTCCACCGGACTGTTCCTGCTTCCCTGTGACCTCATTTCCTGTTGACCCGCCGGCTCAGCCAACCATTGTGCCCGTCTGTGCTGGACAGAAACTCTGATCAGGAAGTGACACAGGGACACTTTCACCGACACATCCAAGGGTTCCTGCAGAGTCTGAATCCGCTGCTCATGCAGGGAAAACTGGCTGATGGGCCGACACCAGGCCAGCCAGCGGGCTTCTTCACATCCACGAACTGCAGCTGTACATCGATCCACCTGAACCCTGCAAGAACCCCTGGTCCAGGTCCAGCTCTGGGTCCTGTTCCTGGTCTCAACCCTGATCACGATCCTGGCTCTGTTCCTGGTTTCAATCCTGGTCCTGGTCCACGCGCACATCTGCTCCGTCTGTGCGGATTCTCAGAGATGCTGAGTGCTTGGCTTGTGCTCTGTGTGTTTCTGTTAAAGGTGTGATGAGGTGAGCTCAGGTGAAACATCCGGAAGCTTCTCCTGGTCTCTGCAGCTCCTTCAGGAACTCAAACCACCCCTGAAGCTCAGACTGACCGGAAGTCCTTCAAACTCTTTCTGATTAAAATGTGCTCTGGAAAACAGTGCGTGAACTTTTCTGTGTAACACCTGGAAAGTCCCACAATCACGAACCAGAAGCTCCGCCAACCGCTCACTCCCCAAAATCAATGTGTGTGTGTGTATGTGTGATACACCTGACGTGTGCAGCGCGTGGGCACCAAAACTCACAGCTGTGTGTGTGCGCGCGTGCACTCACCCACACCACCAGGGGGGACTCCATGAACGCGCCTAGCAGCTCGGAGAGGGTGACGTCCATGGCTCTGCTCGGTCATCAATACTCCGATCGATCGGCAGGTATCCGCGGCGGGCACGCGGGAGGTCTCCACAGCGGGCAGAACAAAGCGCCGCGAGGCATCGACCCTCCCCGCCACCAGCGCGAGCTCCCTCTCTCTTTCTTTTCCTCACTATTGTCTCGCGACGAAGAGCCGGTCCGAGCCACACGAACGGAAACGGAACCAAAAAAGTACTGGGAGAGCCTCTGCGCGCGCTCCCGTCGGTCCCGGCTCGGTTCTGTTAGCTCAGCGCGTGAACGAGCAGTTTTTTTCCGCTGAAGGTAAAAACACAGACCCTAACTTCGCAGGACAGTTGATCGTGTTGCCAGGGAGACACCACTGGGACCGTAAAGTGGAGAAACCGCCGTGAAGTTTGAAGAAAGAAAGTAAAGTGAGTGAAAAAGAGCCGAAAAAGGCGGGACGAAGGAAAAACGCGAAGCGGAGGCACACAGAAAAGTTTCCGCTGCTCGCAGCACCTTCACCGTGTTTCTCCTCCACAGCGCTCCATCAACCTGACCCACAGACGCCACACGCACGAGCACAGACCGACGGACCCGCCGGCCAATCAGCGCTCACTACAAACTCTGCTCCCGCCTCTTTTCAGGAAATCTGCCAATAACAGACCATCGTATTTACTCTTTGATTCGGTCTGTTGGTGACGTTAGACAAAGAGTTCAGACAGAACAAGATGGAGACCGCCCCGAGGAGGGAAATGTATGGAGGACACAAACTGCCAATAATGGACAAATTAAAATGCCTTAAAAATCAAATACAGACATCGTAATCAAATCACAACACGTGACATGAGCCCTGTTAATTTACCTATTTATTACAATTATAATTTACATTTACAAATCATTTTGTGTTTATTTGTGTGGGCCCGTCTATGAACTCTGACCTTCATTCTTTGTGTCAGGTGGATTCAGGTGAGCTGATTGGCTGGGCCATCCCAGCAGCTTTATTTTGTGTCTCTGAAAGCAGCTGAGAGTTTCAAGGCTGTGTTTGGTCATCGTCTCGTTTCTTCATCATCCCGGCAGACGGCAGCAGATTTAACGTCTCGAGCTTCCTTCGCTTACACGAAGCTTCACGGTGCCGTACACTGACAAACAGTGTATCACCCCAAAAACACCAACAGGGAGGTTTGGTGTCAAATGTCCCACCAGAGGAGAAAACGCTCTAGACCATGTTTACTCCAACATCAAGCATGCATATAGAGCCATATGGAAAAGATATATATAAATCTTATAAAGTTTGTATCTGTCTTGTATGAAACTTGTATGAAAAGCATACAAGAGTGAAAACACATATAAGATCCCTTGAAGAATTATATAATGAAACTTGTATGTTTTGGATACTTACTAAAACAATATATGAAAGTAATGAGAAAGTGGCCACTTTCATGAGTAAATCATATATGTTTTTACTATTTCTTTTCCATATGAGGAGCCATACCCCTCCCCCACCTCGGTCAGTCCGACCACCTCTCCTTCCTGCTCTCCCCAGCCTACACCCCCCTCATGCGCAGTGCCCACCACAAAGACGGTTACGACCTGGCCTGAAAAAGCTCTCTCCAAACTACAGGACTGCTTCACAGAGACAGACTGGGACATATTTGAACACCAGGACCTAGAAACTTTCACAGGATCAGTACTGGACTACATCAAGTTCTGTACTGCAAACGTGACTGTGGACAAAAGCATTCAGGTTTTCCCAAACCAAAAACCCTGGATGACCAGCGAGGTCCGCTCACTCCTCAAAGCCCGCGATGCCGCCTTCAGGTCAGGTGACAGAGCTCTGTACAGGGCTGCTCGAGCTGACCTGAAAAGGGGGATTAAAAAAGCCAAGACAGACCTCAAAAGAAACATCGAGTCCCAGCTGTCCAGCAACAACACACAGGAGGTGTGGCAGGGAATGCAAGACATCATCAACCACAGAGGGTGTGAAAGCAGAAAATCTGAGTGTGCAGCTGGCAGAGGAAATAAACAGCTTCTTCGCCCGCTTTGAAACACCAAAACAGCAGCGCTCATCTGCCTCAGCCCTGCTCCCATCCTCACCCTCACCTGGTTCCTGCACCGCTCCACTCACTGTAACAGAGCACGATGTCAGACGTGTGCTTCTAGCAGTGAACCCCAGGAAGGCGGCCGGTCCAGACGGAGAAGGTGCTAAAAGCGTGTGGCCACCAGCTCACCGTCATCTTCACCAGAATCTTCAACCTCTCACTGGATCAGGCAGCCATCCCATCCTGTCTAAAATCAGCCACAATCATCCCAGTGCCAAAGACGTCTCCCATCTCCAGCCTGAATGATTACCGCCCTGTGGCCCTCATGAAATGCTTTGAGAGACTAGTCCTTCAGCACATCAAGGATTACCTCCCCCCAGAATTCGACCCCCGCCAGTTTGCATACCACGCAAACAGATCCACAGAAGACGCCATCGCCCTCCACGCTGTGCTGAGTCAGCTAGAGCAGCAGCAAAGCTATGTCCGAATGCTGTTTGTAGACTACAGCTCAGCCTTCAATGATCTGGACATCCTCATCATCAAACTGGTCACTCTTGGCCTCCCTCCTCTCATATGTGCCTGGATAAAGGACTTTCTTACAAACCGGCCCCAGACTGTAAGACTCGGCCCTCATCTCTCCTCCACCCGCATACTGAGCTCCAGCTCCCCACAGAGCTGTGTGCTGAGCCCCCTCTTGTATTCTCTCTACACCCACGACTGCAGCTCAACCCACAACAACACTCTCATCATCAAGTTTGCTGATGACACCACGGTAGTCGGACTCATCTCAAAGGGAGACGAGGCAGACTACAGAGAGGAAGTCCTGAAGCTGGCAGCCTGGTGTTCAGAAAACAACCTGACACTGAACACTAAGAAAACCAAAGAGCTCATTGTTGACTTCAGGAGGCACAGCACCGACTTGGCCCCCCTTTACATCAAGGGGGAGTGTGTGGAGAGGGTCCACACCTTCCGGTTCCTTGGTGTCCTCAGGAGTAGGTGCATCAGCACAAAGACCCACAGACTCAAAAACAGTTTCTTCCCCAAAGCCACAACCACCCTGAACTCACACATGCACCGATAACACAGCCCCTCCCCACACACACACTTTTTTTTTTTAAACTGGCCTGTATATTTGTACATTTTATATATATATATATATCTTTTCCCTCTGTTAATACTATCCATGTAGTCCTGCAGAACTGTGCCCCCCAGCATGTTTTCACTGAGTAGGAGATGCTCTGTATCTCATTGTACAGCTGTATAGTGACAATAAAGGTATTCTATTCTATTCTATTCTATTCTATTCTGAGGAGCACCTGATGGTTTACAATGAAATGATGATGAACTGTGGCCCGACAGTCTCACTGGAAGCTTCAGCATGTTTTAAATAAAGTTTGAAGGTCTGGAGAGAGCTCACGGTTTCACCATCATGAGATGTTTCTGTGTCACACGCTGGTGATGAAGCACCTTTCTTAGGCCATCAGGTGGGACTGAACCAGCTGATGCTAATCTGCACCGAGCAGCAGGACTGTGGCGCCCCCTAAAGGGAGGCAAGAGTGAGGACAGAATTTCTTCAGGATGATTTTTTTTTTTTATTGTTTTTTATTTAAATCGATTATTTTGTGATCTGAATGTTTGTGTTCATAATCAATGAAGATCCTGAGCTGCTGTTTGAAAGACTGATTTTATTTATTTAAAATTTGTAAATACTCGCCGTCCTGTTTGTACTGAGTTTAACGCAGGTTTTCTCCTGAAACGACCTCACACGGTGAGCAGCAGGGAATCCTCTCGCTGCGCCTGCGCACTCTCTGATTTGACTTACAGGTTTGAAGGATCAAAGCAACGGAGCCACAGTGGCGCACGCGCTGTGACGGTTTTACGCCTGAAACTTTAATAAACACGTCAGCGTGCTTCAGTCTGACGTCACTGCGCTTGTCATCAGTGTATCTCGTTATCACCTGTGGAGGGAGGAGGGGCGGGTCACACCTGTGGTCCTGCACCCCAGTTCTCTCTCTTTGTGTGTGCTTTTATTCTGAAAGGAAACCTGAGCTCACGGCTTCACACGAACACCGGAAGTCCATCAGACACGCTCACACCGTGTGGGAACAGCTCCACCCTGTGGCGCACTCACGCTACTACACGTCACAGAGCGCAACGCGGTACGGCTGCGCAGAAAATCCCGCTTCTTTCTGAACGCTCCTTTATTTATATTCCACTGTGGTCTCTACTGTGGATCTTTATTTTATTCATTTCATGTTTTAGTTCTATTTCATTTGCCATTTTTTATTTTAATTGGGTTTTTTTTACTGTTCTAATTTTATGTTTTCTATTTTTCTTATTCAATTAATTTACTTTTGCATATTTTTGACTTAATTAGTCATATCTAATTAAGATATCTTTTCATTTTTAGTCTGTTTATTTTTATTTACTTGTTCGAGTGTGAATTTTCGCCACTTTTGTTCATTTTGTATATATTTTATTTTTATTTAGTCTTCTATTTTATTTTCCATTTTTATCTTTCAGTTTTATTTACTGGTTCTTATTATTTCTTGATTTCAACCTGCTGAGATATACTTTTATTTTGGAGGGTGGCCCGGTGTCCTCTGATTTTGACTTTCTCTTCTTTTCCTCTCTTCCAGAGTTAACTTCAAGTCTGAGTCTTTTTTTTTACATCTTGTTCACAAGTTTTACCATATTTAGTGAGACTCATGAATGTTGTAATTGTTTTAGTGGAGAAGAAGAGAGAAAAAGAAACATTAAGGATAAATAAGTAAAATTAAATTAATCATCTACAAAGTGCAGTAGAAGTACAGCAGGATTGTTTAACCACTAGGGGGCGATAAGAGACTACAGCGCGAGCTCGAACCTCATGCAGGCTCCTACAGTTTTCATTGCTTTTCGGTTTTGTGATGAACACATTGAATGTACTGTTTGAATTAATGTGTTATATTTAAATCTTAAATGTGTTAAATGTGTACAGTTTAGATCACCTTTAGCATATACACTCGTGAGAACAGGTTTCCCTACATAACGAGTCTTATTTCTCCACAGGAAGGTAAAGAGCATCATTACAGTTTTTTCTCCACATGCAGACACAGAGCTGCTATTGTTCATGGTGAGATTGCCTCTGCTTTGGTGAGCAGAACTCTTCCTCTTAAGGAGAGATCTCTCTGAGGATAGGTTCCAGATTTAAGGATGTCCTTCTTTGCTGATCCTTCGTAATTATTATTCAACATCATTTAACTTGTATATTACAAATAGCTGTACTGGAACATTCCTTCCATAAGTTCACGGTCGTTAATATTCAGATGTAAGTCATTCATTCATCAGTAAAACAGGACCATCAGGCAGCTGAGTGATGATCAGATTTCTGTCCAGCAGTGAGACACATATGAGATCTGATGTGGTCTGCTAAGAGTTGGACGAATGGTAAAAAGAGGTACAGAGAAGCAGGCCATCCTTGTCTGACACCGTTAGTGTCACTGAGCTGTTTCTGTAGAGTCTCTGTGGATGAACAAAAGCCAAGTTTATGTAAGGACTGTAAAATGAACTGGTGTTTATAAAGATCTACAAATAACATGAATCCACTGTCATCAAAAAGTTGACAGCAGTCTAAAACGTCCAGCACTGACCTGATACTGTGGGTTATTTGTCTGTTAGCCATAAAACCTGATTGTGTTCATTATGAGGGAAATCCGTTTTGAGCCTCTTTGCTGAAATTAGAGCTAAAGTCTTATAATCCTTATTGAGCAGGCAAATAGGCGCCAATTATCTGGAAGTAAACTGTCTTTATTGGGTTTGGGAATGAGAGTG